AGAAGAAATGGGCTTAGGAAACAAGTTATAGAGGTAAAGGAAGGGCTCTTGGAGCTTGGGAGTGAGGAAGCTAATAGTAAGGTGCCTTGGGGCAGGGAGGATGAGGGGGAAGGGGAAGAGAACGGCACAGGTGTGCTCCCAGGTGCACTGGGTCTTGTGTCCTAAGTGTTTTAAGGGTGAAGATTTTAGAGGAGGTCCCAGGGGAAGATCTCAATAGAAGATTCAGCAGTTTTCCAGGTGTGTCCTTTCAGAGTTGTGGTCACCACTGATTTATTGGTCAGCACAGGGCAGGGGGTCATAATTCAATGCAGCTGGTCCTGAGGTCAGCCAGGTGTAGATTGTCTGGTTTTGCTGCTTTTCTGAGCCTGGAGCTGAAACACAACTGAGGCCTAGATGTTATCTCTAGGGAGGAAAGGGTGAAGGGGTCCAAACCTCAGGGCCAGGGACATGCTAGGGGAGAGAAAGTCACCCTGGGAGAGAAGCCCCCCCCTATAATTGTTCTTTGCTAGGTACCTGGGGCTTTCCACCCTGATAACCTCCTGTACCTGGCCCATAGTTCATGTTCTACTCATGTCTGTCTAACTGCCTACCACACAACCAACTGAGCCACCCGGCCAAGGCTGAACCTATTTTTTAAATATGTTTTTATTGATTTTTAGAGAGAGAGGAAGGGAGAGAGATAAAAGCAACCATAGGCTACCCCCTGCATGCCCCCTACTGAAGATGGAGCTCAAAACCCCGGCATGTGCCCTGACCCGGAATCAAACCAGCAATCTCTTGGTGCATGGGTCTACATTCAACCACTGAACCATACTGGCTGGGCTGAACCTATTTTTTAAAAAAAATATATTTTATTGATTTTTTACAGAGAGGAAGGGAGAGGGATAGAGAGTTAGAAACATCGATCAGCCGCCTCCTGCACACCCCCCACTGAAGATGTGCCCGCAACTAAGGTACATGCCCTTGACCAGAATTGATCCTGGGACCCTTCAGTCCCCAGGCCAACGCTCTATCCACTGAGCCAAACCGGTTAGGGCTGAACCTATTTTTAAAATCGTTTTAGTGTGTTTTTGCCAATCTACTAGGTTAAATTAATGCATAATTTTAATTTGCATATTTTAAATTAGAAATTGAGCTCTAGTTCATGTTGATTAGACTTTGTGTTTCTTTCTGTTATCTTTTCATCATTTATTTGATCATTTCTTACTGAGATGTTCTTTTTTTTACCTTACTGATTTGTAAGAGCTTATTACACATTATTATAATAATTTTAACCCATTGTCACATGTTACAATGACATGTTTGTCATTTGTCTTTTAGTCATTATGTCTTTCGCCATATAGAAGTTTTAGATTTTCTATGCCTACTTTAAATGGGAGGTAATAGGTTAATTATTTTCCTTAGTGGATAGCCACGCTCCAAACACCATTTGCTTGAAATCAGTGTGGTAACGTGCTGTAATTTTTCTATTACTAAGAAGAGGTAAAAGGAAAGAAGGACCTCATCATCCTTAGGGTAAAATATTGTGATACCAGAGTTGGATTACTCTGGTGTGTTGTTCTGTTTTTCTGTTTCCTAAACCAGCCTAAAATAGAAATTCTACTTTGTTCTGAGAGTCTCCTCTTTTCATAAAGAAGTTGCTTGTATGGTTCCTAATGAGCCTAGAGACTATTGGAAACAAAGTGCTATTCAACTGGATTGGCATTACTTGGCATGGGCGTCCTTATCTGCAATCTCTTCAAAGTGCTTCCCAATTCCACTCGACGCAGATGATAACTGGTGTGCACAAATACTCCTTTAGTTTATTTTCTCAGCCTTGTTCCTGGATGTGAACAATGTGGATTCCCTCGGGCCTGTAAATTCTCTCATTTATTTCAAAACATCTCATTATTTCAACTGAAGGCTTTTCTTTTTATTTACTACCTAGGATTCTTATAACCAGGGTGTTTATACAGGTTTAATACAGTATGCTCAATAGGCTCATCATGAAATAAACAAAAATTCAAAAGAACAGTGCGTTCACTCTTAGGACAATGCATGTCATACACTGGGTTAGGAGTAAGAAGATGAGGTGGGTGGTGAGTGAGCGTTGTATATTTTACTATAGGACACTCTGTTCCATCAGGTAGTGTTTCTACATGTTTTGTGGTAGTGCGGATATAGTCATTTCTTGAAAAATCATGACTTCTCATTTTGGCAATTTTATCACTTTTTATCTACTACATAGCAAAAAAATTTCATATTGGAGATATATGTTGTAACAGAAGAGACTAAAATAGATAACATACAGACACAGACAGACAAAAAAAACATATCTACACACACACACACACACACACATACATCTGTGCTTTTACTATAGAGTTGATAGATTTAATTAGAGAACATATATAAAAAATACTTGAGGCCATGTGTGGTAGTTAGTAAATACTCAATGCATCTTAGCTATTATTATTATATGTCATCTAGGTGGGTTGTTGTTTTGTTTTTACCAGCTTGCAGCATGGATATAAGAAACCATTCTCTTTATTTTGCCTCTCTCCTTTTTCTAGCAAGTTGTTTGTGTTCTTTACTGCAGTCCTCCTTAAGTCTCCTGTTTCTCCCCATCTCCTATATGAGAACTGAGCCTCTGCCATACTAAAGGGTTAAAAAGCTCAGTCTTAATGAGAGGAGTGCATTCCTGCAGGTTGTTCAGCTACGATATGAATAACAATTACTCTCATTTCTGTAGTAGTTTAGAATTTACAAAGGGATTTATATCTTTTTGACTCAGTGCAACCTTGAGAGCTAAGTGAAGATGTTTTTAAGATTGTTTTCCATCTGATAAATGGTATACTGTTTTGCTAGGACCGCTGTAACAAAGTACCATAAACTGGGTAGCTTAAACAGCAAAATATTATTTTCACTCCATCCTAGAGACTGAGAAGTCTGAGATCAAGGTGTCAGCCGGGTTGGTTTCTTCTAAGGCCCCTCTCCTTGTCGTCTAGATGCCTCCTTCTTGCTGTGCCCACAAGGTCTTCCCTCTTTACCCATCCGTATTCAAATCTTTTTTCAGAAAGATATCAGTCAAAGGAGATCAGAATATGACACCCTCAAATATGCCACTTTGGCAAATCAATTGTTTTGAGCTGAAGGCAACTGAGGAACAGCAGGCGCAGGAAGAGCTCTCTGCTATCTGCGTGAAAGCTGGGCATAAATCTCCTATGAAAAAAGCACAGTCCCTATTCCAGGAAGAGAGGATAGGAGAGCACTCCTATCTCTGGAGGAGTCAATGCTGAGGTGAGTCTGCATGAACAGACCTTACTAAAATAATCTTATCTTCCACAGTGGTTCTCAACCTTCCTAATGCCTCGACCCTTTAATACAGTTCCTCATGTTGTGGTGACCCCCAATTTCATTGTTACAAATTGAACATAATTAAAGCATAGTGATTAATCACAAAAACAATATGTAATTATATGTGTTTTCCGATGGTCTTAGGCGACCCCTGTGAAAGGGTCGTTCGACCCCCAAAGGGGTCTCGACCCACAAGTTGAGAACCGCTGCATTAGAAGATATCTTAACCCACCCCCATGTATTTCCTAGTCACTCTCATAGTTTACCAGCTCTAGAAGCCCAAATGCCCTTTCCTTTGCTACTCACTTCTCCACAATTTATCACCCTTTATTAAAATAGTATGTAAGCTCCCAAGTCTGTCTGCTCTTTGACTTTTTCACTTCTTTTTTGTGAAGCCCATACACATAAAACTTTAAATATTAATAAAAGTGTATGCCTTCTCTCCTGTTAATTTGTCTTTTGTCAGTTTAACTCACAGGACCTGGTGAATTAAAGGCCTTAGTTAAACCTAAGAGAATAGAGGAAATCTTTTTCCCTTCCCTACATAGTCATATTGGATTAGAGCCCCCACTAAAGGCTTCATTTTAACTTAATTACTCCTTTAAAGGCCCTATCTCCAAATACAGTCAAACTCTTAGGTACTAGGGGTTAGTTCTTTGGTATATTAATTTGGAGGGGGAACACAATTCAGATGGGAAAACTGAGACTATATGCGGTCAAATCTCTTGCCCAGGGTCAGAGCCAAAATAGGGCTTGCACTTCCCTGTATTTGAGACTTAAGCAACAAGGTAACTTCCCATTTTCACTTTATATTACATCACAGAAAATTTTCCATTTCCAATCAAGACATTTCTACATGATGCTTTTTTTTTTTTAATTAAAAATATGGAACGCTTGACTGTGGAAGCACCTGGAGCGGTTCCTGACCCAGGCCCTGAAGGAAGTGCTCCAGAGAGAGGGCCCAGACTGTGTGGTTAGAACACAGAATGAGGTGGTGACTATAGTAACAAGTTGGAGAAGGGACAGATGCTAAACCACGAAGTTCTTTACAAGACGTATTAAGAAGTTCAGGCTAAAACCCAAGGGCGTTGGATTTTAATGCAAGGGAAACAGATGAAGAGCTGTAAACAGGTGACATGACCTATTACATTTTTGAAAGATCACTCTGGTGGCAATGTTGAGGATTGGATTGGAAAATGCAAAGATTAGCCCTGCTGGCGTGGCTCAGTGGTTGAGCATCGACCTATGAACCAGGAGATCACGGTTCGATTCTCAGTCAGGCCACATGCCTGGCTTGTGGGCTTGATCCCCAGTGTGGGGTATGCAGGAGTGTGGGAAACCGCCTATTGTCTTCACTAGCAGAGAGGTGTAGACAGAGAACCCGGAAGGCTGGTGACCTTTGAAGCCCTAGCAAAGGTCAGAGCTGTGCACCACCTCTGTTAATCCAGATAATGGTAGCTGAAGCAACCTCCCCACCTTTAGTCATGTAAATCCTTATTGATAAGAATAGTCTGTGTGTCACTGGAATCTCCCTGCCTAAGAGCTATACTATGGGTGGATCCCAAACCAAATAAAAGGTTGGTGTGGCCTGAGCACCAGTGGAAGTCCTTCCTCTTGAGTTGGACTTACCCGCCTGGCCCCCCAATATTTCCAAATTAAAAAAAATATATATGGAACACTTCACAAATTTGGGTGTCATCCTTGCGCAGGGACCATGCTAATCTTCTCTGTATAGTTCCAATTTTAATACATGTGCTGCCAAAGCAAGCACTACATGATCCTTTTTGATGTTACCTAGTATCTTAGCTCTGGCTGCTATATCAGAACACTATAGACAGGTGGCTTATAAACAACAGAAATTTATTTTCACAGCTCTGGTGACTGGGAAATTTAAGACCAAAGAGTCAGCAGATTTACAGTAGTGTCTAGTGCAGTGATGGTGAACCTTTTGAGCTCGGCGTGTCAGCATTTTGAAAAACCCTAACTTAACTCTGGTGCTGTGTCACATATAGAAATGTTTTGATATTTGCAACCATAGTAAAACAAAGATTTATATTTTTGATATTTATTTTATATATTTCAATGCCATTTGACAAAGAAAAATCAACCAAAAAAATGAGTTTGCATGTCACCTCTGACACGCGTGGTCTAGTGAGAGCCTGCTTTCTGGTTCACAGGTGGCCATCTCTCTGTGTCTTCAGAGGTAGAAAGGGTAGGGGAGCTCTCCAAGGCCCCTCCCCCTTATTTTTTTTCAGTTGATCAGCATAGCCAGGTTCTCTCCTTATTGTCCTGTTACAACTGTATTTATACCATTGGATCCTATAAGCATGCCTCTAGTTACATCATGGTATGTTTGGGGTCCTTCTTTGACCTTCTACAGTTCCTTGTTTTATGTTTATAGTTTATCTGACCTTTGATAAAAATCTTATCTCTAGCTCTGTTGATTTTTTTTTTAAGGGGGAAACTTTATTTGATATTAAAGTTGGGGAGGGGATCGGAGGGGAGGTCCGCTTCACTTGGTGATGGTGTTCGCGTTCATGCTCTTGCCGCTGCCGCTGAGCACGATATACGGTGTTTTCTGGGCCTTTTGCTTTTCCCAGAGCAAAGCCACAGTGCCCAGGGGTGTGTCGCTGGAGCTCATCTTCTTCAGGAGCACCTCCTGGTCCAGCTTCTTCATCCTCCGCTCTGTCTTCATCTTGCCCGAGCCTTTCCCGTGGAAGCGGTGGGACAGCTGTCGGAAAGCCTCCTTGGGTGTGAGTATTCGGCCGGTCTCATCCACATACTCGATCTTAACATCAGGCTTATAGCCATCCTTCTCCTTGAAGTCCTGGGTGAAGCCCCAGTACTCCTCCCGCCGGCTATATTTGTCATCGATGGCCATCTTGTCCTCAATGCAGTACACTGCTGACAGCAGGGACTTGTTGGGTGCCTTAACCTTGGCCACCTTCTGCACGGTCCTCTCCAGCAGTCCTTTGTTCTGACACAGGAGCAGCGCGGCTGCCAGCCCTCTATTCACGATGGGCTCCTCGTCCAGGATGGTTGGGTGGAGGAGGCAGAGAAATCCTGATGCTGCTTCTCCTCCTCCAGGTTGACTGTGCTCCAGCCAATGTTCTCCTCCCCGTCAGACGCAGAGCCGCCGTTGGCCGAGCGTTCCCCGTGCCGTTCCAAGGCCATGAGCTCCTCCTGCTCCTCCCTAGGTGGGGATCTCCCCCAAGGTACCGCAGAACTCCGACCTGGCGCTGAACACGATGGTCCCCTTCCGCTCCGGACCCTCCTCCTCCTCCAAGCCCCGCTGGCGGGACTCCAGCTTCTTCACAATCTCCACCACCTTCTCGCCGCTGTCCCGCAGCTGGTGTAGCTGCTGCAGCTGCCGTAACCGGCGGCCCTTCTCCAGCTGCATCTGCAGCTTCCAGCTCCGCCTCATCCTCCTCCAGCAGCTCTGGGGACCCAGGTGGCAGCCCGCCCTCCTCCTCATCACTGATATCCATGTTTTCCACCCGAGTGTCATCTGACGGTGGGGGCTGAGACGCCGGCTCCTTCTCTTCCTCCTCCTCCTCCTCCTCCTCCTCCTCCTCCTCCTCCTCCTCCTCCTCCTCCTCCTCCTCCGGGGCTTCCTCATCTCCCTCGGGCACTTGGCGCCGGCCCCGGCCCCGGCCCCGGCCCCGGCCCCGCAGTCTGGAACCAAAGTCCCCATCTTGAGTCTGGTCCCCAAGAGGCAGCAAGTCGTCAGCCCGCACTACCACCTCCTTCTCCTCCTTTCGGATCTTCTTCACCTTCCGCTTGGTCTTTCTAAAGGTCACCCTCTCCTCTGGCGTCAGGTACTCGGAGGCGAGCCGCGGCCGGCCATGCTCAGGGACTGAGCTTGCAGCCGCAGCTTGGTGCGCATCTCTTCCAGCTCACGTTCCCGAAGGCCATGGGCAAGGCCGCCCTGCCCCAAACGGAAGGAGTGCGGCCGCTGGCCGTCCAGCTCCTCGTCGTACTTGGCCAGCACAGAGCGGGGTTTTTGCTGCGCCAGCTCATCCACACTCTCATCCTCTGCCTAGGGCAGGTAGTCGGGCTTTTTCTTCCGCAGCTCCACGTTTTTCTCCGCCCGCGCCTTCTCCAGCAGGTTCGCGTTCACCAGCACGTCTTCCTCCTCCCGCAGCACGCCTTTGTCCTTCAGGGTGAGGGTCACGGTCTGCCCTTCTCGGAAGGAGGCCATGGCATGCTCCACAGTGAGGCCCTGCAGGTCCCGGGCACTGTACAGGTCCTGCCGCCCCCGCCCGAACTCCTCCTCCACCAGCGTGCTGACACCAACCTCTTGGTCCACCTCCTCCAGCAGCTCGGTCCTCTTCTCTGCGAAGTCCTCCTCCTTCTGCAGCTGCCGGCTCCTCAGGGGTCCTCCTCCCCCAGAGTCTTGATCTTCCCCAGCTTCCGGTTCAGGAGGCTCTTTTCTTTGGCAGCTGCCAGCTTTTCTCGAAGCTCCTCTCGTTGTCGCAAGGCCATGGGGTTGATGACATCGGCTGCCATGGGCTCCTTCTGGGTGCCCGCCTCCTCCTCGACGGCATTGACTTCCTAGGGTTTCAGCCCCAACTTGGCCCGGAGTTTATTGGTCTCCTCGATGCTAAGTGACGAGGCATCTCCTGAGCTAGTTTTGGAACTGGCAGCGGCCTCGGAGCCATCGTCCCGCTTCTCCCGCTTCCCGCGCCGCTCCGAGGGCTCGGCTTGGCCCGCTCCCGCCCCTGCGCACCGCTGCGGGCCTCGGTCTCGCTCCCGCGCCCGGCCCCCCGTTCCTGGCTCCACTCCCGTCGTTCGCCACTCTGGTGCTTGTGTTTTTGGTGCTCTCGGTGCTTGTGTTTTTTGTGCTCTCGGTGTCGCCAGGGCTGCTCGGTGGCGCCTCCAGTGCCGGCCGCCGCCGTGGTCATGGCCGCCTCTTCCTCCCGGCAGTGCTTCTTTGATGACCCCATGGCGGCACGTCAGCTCCCAGCCGGCCCACACGGAGCCCCAATAGGCAAAATGGGAAAACTTCCGGGTAGCCCTGCAGCAGCTGTCGCGTTGCTGCTGCTTCCTTCTAGCTCTGTCTTCTAGCTCTGTTGATTTTAATCTTCTCCAGAGCCCCTTTTATAAGGGCATTAATCCCATTTATGAGGGCTCCACCCTCATGACCTAATCACCTTCCGAAGGCCCCACTGCCGGAAGCCGGTCCACCCTTGCTGCTTGACACAGCCGTTGAGGGAAGAAACATCTGTTTCAAGGGACCTGGCGTATATGGCATACTGTTCTTAATATGTTTGCTCCCCTTCTTAGCCATATGTGTTCTATCCAAGGCCACCTCCCCGAGAAAGGTTGTTTCCCCAGGTGGGGATTTTTCCCTGGAGTTAGGGATTAACAGGACTAAGGAAGGGAATAAAATCAGTAAAACCCCTTAACTAAGTGCCAGGCGGGTAGTTAATCACCTTAACTACGAACAATCACGCTTAAGCTACATAATCTTTACTTAGGACAGTGATGGCGAACCTTTTGAGCTCGACGTGTCAGCATTTTGAAAAACCCTAACTTAACTCTGATGCCGTGTCACATATAGAAATTTTTTGATATTTGCAACCATAGTAAAACAAAGACTTATATTTTTGATATTTATTTTATATATTTAAATGCCATTTAACAAAGAAAAATCAACCAAAAAAATGAGTTCTCGTGTCACCTCTGACACGCATGTCATAGGTTCGCCATCACTGACTTAGGATAATCTCCTTCAGTTACTTCCTTATACCTTAACAGAACAATAGAGTAGTGACCTTGGAATGGAGATAACAAACCCCTAACCTTTGGAATAGAATGGATAGGATTAAAATCAAATGGTATAAATACAGATGTAACAGGAGAATAAAGGGAGAACCTGGCTATGCTGATCAACTGAACGCTGTCTCCGTGTCCTTCATTCTTCACCGACTCCGTCCACACTTTGGGAACCCCTGGACCTGCTGGGGCTGGACCCCACCACCCCACCTCCTAATACCACCACACTGGGGGTTAGGATTTCAACATATAAATTTTATGGGCACACAAACTATTCCGTGTTATAGAGCACTTACTTTTCCATGGTGTGAACACAGCACAATTTATTTAAATAAGCCTGTATTGATCTAGACCAGTGGCTCTCAACCTTGGCTGCACATTAGAATCACCTGGGAATCTTTTTAAAATCCTGATTTCTGGGCCTCATCCTCCGGAAATTCTGTTTCTTTGTTACTAATGTTGTGGCCTCACCCCATAACAAAGAAACAGAATTTCTGGAGGATGGAGGACCAGAAATCAGGATTTTAAAAAGATTCCCAGGTGATTCTAATGTGCAGCCAAGGTTGAGAACCACTGATGTAGACTGTTTCTTGTACTACAGTGGGGCCTTGACTTACGAGTGTCCCGACTAACGAGTTTTTCGAGATACGAGCCGTCTCTCAGCCGATTTTTTGCTTTGAGTTTCGAGCTAAAATTTGGGTTACAAGCCAGCTTCAGGTACCCCACCGCTAGTTGGCGCAGCGAACGTCACAGTGAACGCCACAACATCAGCCCAGCATCACGTGTCTCACTCATTCATTGTTGATTTGACCTACGAATAATTTAAGTTATGAGCTCAGTCACAGAACGAATTAAACTCGTAAGTCAAGGCCCCACTGTATTTTAAAAATAAATTTACAGTGAGCATTCTTGTAACTAAATCTTTGCACCCAATCTTTAACCTTCCTAAAAGTAGAATTGCTAAATTGCACAGTATGCAGTTTTTAAAGACAT